AATTTGCTGAAGCATACTTATGGGTATGGTGGCGATGGCTTGGCGTATGTTGTTCTTTAAATAAGGTAGGGTCCTTGGACAGTCATTGTAAACAATTGATTTAAGATAACCCTAAAAAATCACACGGAGTCAAAATGAGGGCTCGGGCCGGTCAAAGAAGGTCACCTCTCAAGAAGATGAGGCGATAATGCAAGGAACGGCCAAAAAAAAAGTACGCCTCGACAGCAGACGTACGCTGCTCACTTGTCCAATGCATATATAGTGGCTACTGACTAGACAGGACACAAAACTTTATGATCTCGAATTTCATATGAAATACTTCTCGTTCTTTTCCTACAACATCTGGCTGCTGCGCGCGAAACACATAACAGGAAGTTTTCGTGATTCACCCTGTAGCTCTCCAACAATATAACGCTCGTTTGCGTATTTTCAGAAGTTAGATCGAGTTAAATCTGGCCTATATATACACGGCTATAATTCGAGCGCGTATCCGCATTATCTGCGCTGCCTGTCAAAATATAATCCGGGCCTGGTATTTCCTTACTTTTTGTATTAGAATCCTGAGAAGAGAGAAAAAGGTCCCGGAATGAAATGAAAATTTTATTATTTAACATTAAGTAGGGGCAGACAAGTGACAGATAGACAATCAAACATTTATAAGGTCGCAAGTGCGCCAAAACTTATTAATGATTATTTTTTGACGTACAAAAACTAAAATTATCGCTTCTGAAAATTATTTAAAGAATACATTATCAATATGCGTCGATTCGTGCATCCGACTAAACGGAGAAACAGTCCACATTTTTGGAGACAAATTCAAAAAAGAAATCAATACATACACTATTGGAAACAAATGAAATAGCCATGATTAATGAATGCTAATTTTATCTGCCATGCAATGTTGTCCGAAGGGAAGATTTGATAAAAAAATTAATAGGTAGAAGCAAAACGAAGCATTGATACTAAATCAAAAATTTTCAACGTTGCAATTCTTATATGCTCGAGCAATTAAAGTTTTGCTTGTTTGACTGTGGGCATGGGCGTAGCACGGAAGAGCATTATTGAATAATCCTTAGTTGTGTTAAATGAAATATCATACTGTGACTTTAATGTCTATATAAATCGATAAACAAAAGAGCCAACGCGTCGGCGACAGGCATAAAACTGGAAACGATATATCGTGTAGCGATCGTGTTCGCTCACTGCTCAACAGGCAATTCATACAAGAACGCGTTGTCTCTGCCCTAGCTCTTTCTTCGAAGAAATTCATCACGACAAACGACAAAAGCTTATCTTGCGACGTATTCTCTTACGTGTTTTTATACGCTTGCTCGACTTGAGGGACGCGTAATCCGAGCTCGCTAGTCCATGTAAACCTCAAGCCAGTGTCACCGTGGCCAGAGCTATTCAAGCTCCTGGGAGCTCCGTACAACACTCTCCACCAGGTAATTTTATGCCGTGATCTTTTTAGTGTGTCAGCTCTCCTTGATCTGCTAAGCGCCTATATAGTTGACTTATTCAGTACTTGGCGCCTCAAGCTTAGCGTGTCAGCGTCTTAGCGCCGCTGCCTTGCCAACCTTGCAGAACAACAATTATTGTGCAACAGAACAACATTTATTGTCTGGCCAACGTTGTTGCACAGCAGTTCGAAGTCGTTTTGGAGCAGGTCATCACCATTGCATGTAAATATAGTATGCGTATAGTGTATATCATTATAGTAATATTGCGTAAGAGTACTGCAGGCCAGCATCATTGTATGGCAGGGCAGCGGCATTGCGTATAGCACAAAATACTGTGGTATATATTGCTGGCCAGCAAAGCTGGGCAGCGCTACTTTGAAATGTAGCGGCCGCTACCGCTACCGCTACACCCACTAGATTGTAACGGGCGCTACCGCTACCGCTACAGTAAAATGTAGCGCCGCTACCGCTGCCGCTACATGTGGCACGCTACTGCCACCTATGATGGCCAGTACAATTAAATTGCAAGTCAGGAACCTTGCATCGTGGACAAATTGTCGTATTGAAGTCCACTACAATTGTATGTCAAGGACGAGAGATCGACATAACGTAGCAGACAGTACGGCCGTTCATCCGGCCAGCTCACTATATATACAGTATATGACAGACTAGCGTATTCTGAGAAAGTCAGCAATTATTGTTGGATTGTAGTTTGCAGGTTTCAGCATTAAAACTAATATCAAAAATGGAAATTTTGATTCTAAAGTCTTTTTTAAACCACAACGACCGGACAGTTATCAGACAATTATTGTTTGTTTATGTTCGAATATACAGTATATGACAGACTAGCGTATTCTGAGGAAGTCAGCAATTATTGTTGGATTCTAGTCATTAATTTTATATCATTAATCATTTCTATCATATATCATTTCTAGTCATTAATATCAGAAATGGAATTTTAATTATAAATTCTTTTTTAAATGCAACGATAGGACAGTCATCAGGCAATTGCTTGTTTATGTTCGACAGTCAAAGATTAGGTAATAGTTTTGAATTAGTTCAAGTTCATTCAAGTCCGCATTTGTTACTTCAAAAAAAAAAATGGAATCTTGAAGGATGTTCGCCGTTGTGACCCGACATGAAATTGGACTCGACACCCGCGCCTCGTGAGGTGCCGGCTGCTCAAAATGTGAAATTGATTTCTCTTTATGACCTGTCAGCAGAAAAGAATCGATGTTCCGAGCATTAAACTTTAAATTGCAAGACATTGCCTTCTGCCTCAGTAGGAACTTATTGAAGAACCTCCTGAACCTATGATGTATGCAATTGTCTAGCGAAGAGTGTATTAATTTTTTTCCTTATTAGATAACTCAGCTTAAACTTCTCGCGAGAGTTGAAGAGAAGTTGTCTCGGCTTCAACAGCTCATACATGCCGAATGAAGATAGAAACCTTCTTGCAAGATTGTCTTTTTGGAATTAATTTTGTATAGACCAATTTGTTTCACATTTCATTAATATTTCAGACAAAATTGGAAGAAAAATGTTATTTTCTAACGGTCAGTGTGATTAGAAGGCATTCCTCTGTTGCACACCACTGAGAACACAATTGCATTGAAATTTATTTGGTAACATTCTTTTTACATCCCGGACTAACTTCATCAGAATTTCTTCATCTTGAAAATTAAAAAAAATTGTTGTACTGATGTTTTTCCATGATGCATTACGCTGCAAAATGCGCTCTGACATTAAGTTTCTTCCTAAGAAGCTGCCAACTGCAGCAGCCTTTTCTCTCATATGCACTGCGAGAAAATCCATTCGACATTTGAACTTCTTATGGCAGCAGAATTTCCTTTCAACGTGGAACACTTCCTACGAAAATATTCTCCGAGTAGTGCTTAGTGCCAAATGAAGTTATTCCAGGTAGAGATTTTCCTCTTCAACAAGCCGTTTACGAAGGTTTCAATCCTGGAGCTCATATCCAATATTCAAATGTACATCGGCTTTGAAACACAGTCGCTGTCGGCAAATATATCGCCGGCCGGAGGCGGGCTACGTTCAGAAAGTGTCTCGACATATGTTTGGCCAATTGGAAAACTTTAAAATTGCGAAGTAACCCCGTGATAAATCTACTCGTGCAATAACCCTGTGACGGCCTAGGAACGATCTCGGCAGACACCCTAGAATGTCTGTGTCGTCCCATTCGACATCGCCTTTCCGATTTATTAAGCGCTTTTCCAAACGCGAGGTGTCCCTGAACATTTTTTTGGCCATTGAAGAAGTTTTATTAAAAATCCTGCCGTGTTTCACAGCTTTGGGGAGCATTTTGGCTCGGAGTACTTCTGTTTATTCGACGGGAATACAGTCAGATTGCAATATTACGACAAGTGAACAGGAATTTGGATGTTCTCAAGATGTATAATTAAAAATTTTTGCTTACACTGTACTTCGTATGTATTCATAAATTTATTTTCCCACGCCGTAAAACAATAGAAAAATATTAAAAAAAAATAAGATAACAGAAAAAACTACCGCAAAACAGAGAGCCACAATTTGCCATAAATTTTTTTTTTTTTGAATCGATAATTGCTTTGATTACGGTCTTTTCCTTTGCTTCATCGAAGATCGAAGCTCCAAAACAAAAATTCTGACCGCTGCAGTCGTTTCATGAAAAGACAATGTTTATTTTGGAGCCGTTGACTTCATATCAAGAGACAAGCCAAAATTCTTCAGTCCTTTGCCTTGTTGTGAAGAGAGTTCTTACAAATAAGAAGGCTTGTTGATCGCTCTCAGCCTCATCAAGAGTGTTTTCTGCCCCCGACTCTCATTCTCAACCTAATGCTGAGAGCCTCTCAGCGACGCCTGCCGAACCCATTGAGTTTATCGAAAGGGCCTTCAGGCGAGGCTAAAGCACCGGGATAATGTTTATTTACTCCAAAAAATGGCGTAAAAGTTGTTTCCGAACGTTGTTGACTTCCCCATTAAGTTTGTTGGACGATTTGGATGGGAGTCACGGGATTTCAAAGTTGGAATTGACTTTTGGGAGGGTCATTTCTGAGCGCCGACTTTACCTTTGAACAGCATATGACCTGTTAGCGGACACAGCACAGATGTCACTCGCATTCCTGAGGAAAAACCGGCTTGCTAGTATATTTGGTTTAACAAATCTAACGTGACAAAAAAAATCATGCCTTGGCAATGAATTGTTTTGATGTTATATTATCTTTGTAGTGATGTTATATAATCTAAATAGGATAATGATGCCCTATTGCAGTCGTTTTCATCAAAGGTCCGATGTATTTTTGGGATTTAGATTACAATTTTTGATTTTAGATCCTTGAATAGGTGCAAATACCTCATGAACAGTTTTTGCCTTCCATGAGGAAGATCCAAATGTATTGTTTAAAATATTGTTTGATGAACTTACCATAAATTAAATGTTTGCAAGAAACCAGAAATCTATTTTTCTAATTAAAGTTGCTTCATTAATTACAGATGCCCCGATTGAATTTCTTATCGCTAATGAAAAAATAAATAATCTTTTTACAGAAAAGTGTTCTGGACTTCAATGAAGGACAGCCGAATTCTCTCAACCCATGGCCGTATCCACTTTACTATCCGTACGACGGCCTCCCCCCATACCCCATTCCACCTGGGTAAGTCTAATAAACAACGAATGATCAATTGTATTCATCTGTGATTCATTATAAAACTGCACCATTTGTTTGTAGCTCATTATTATAATGCAGAAGAATATAAGGTATTTATAACACTCTTCCAGCAAGTCCCGGATGTTTATTCAACCTTCTGAAGCCACATCGTCAGTCTTATTACAAGTTCCTGTGACTCTTTATTTCATTTAAAAAATCTTAAGGAGCATTTTACTGAACGCCATTAACTACGCTGAGCGATGTAAAAAAATAAAACATGTTAGTTTAGTTTCATATAAGCACATTCGAAATTGAATATCTACGGATCTCGTGAATGACGAACGACTTGAACGAGAATGTTAATCATGACAATTGTATTGATTCTTCAAATCAAAGAAAGAAGCGATCGTTCTGAAAGTGAGGACGCAAGTGACATTTATATAAGTAGAGTGACATCGCTCACTCACAGCGCTTGACGCTCATTCATTATGTATACGATGACACTGAGCCCTCCTCAAACGTACTTAAAAAGCATTTAATTTTATCGGCTGGGCGAGGGAAATTTCGAAGGCGTAACCCACGATTTCTGGAAGCACTCAGTCATCGAGGTGCGTCTTTCATTGAAATCTATGACTTATTTAGTTTATATTTTACCGAAAGGCGGATGTCGAAATATGCTAATATTTTAAAATTCGGAAAATTCACTGAAATGGATCACTTATTCGAAGAAAATATTAATAATAATTTAATAGTCAAAAAACACATGCGGTTCATGGGACGCCAGCATTTAATTGTCTCCTGAACAAAATTATTTGTTTATATACCATGAGAAAAAACAACACAAAGTTCTGACGTTTTTACCGCCAGTCTTGCAATGGCCACCTATACGCCGCCCTAAAGTTACAATTGATACAACCCTCAATGCTTGGCTGTTGGGGCCCCGGCTATGTTTGGGGCGACGATCCCCACAGCGATGTCGGAATTCAACCATAAATTCTAGGGTATCTTATTTGCAAGCGATTTTTCGACGATTCTCAGGCTTTTTATTGCGCCGAAGACGTACTTATTCTCGAAATAAATTGACTTGGTGCGGTATAAGGAGGCTGCGTTCACATCCAGGCTCATGGGAACCTTTTGATTTGAATTTCTGAAAAACATTCCTTCCACACTAAAATTTAGAGCAATCATTTGATTACCTATTTAAGGAAGGAATGATTACAATAAGGAATAATAACATTCCTGAAAGTTTACTATTAGTACAGAAGAAGTTCGATGTGGTATTGACTTCAGTGAACGCATCAATAAGAGACTGTAAGACCCGTCCTCTCCGGTTAGTGATGCATGCGCGACCCCAAGTCTTGCCGGTGCTCGCATATCGCGTGTTTGCTGCCGATAAAGAGATCGTTTTGGCTTAGAAAGTTAGAGCATTTCAGTTCATGTTGACGACATTTATTTCTCACGGTTGTGCTGCATGCACAGCGGAATATTCCTGTGAAAAAACTGTTCGATTGTAATATAAAATGAAATTACTTTAATGATAGGGAGAGTTTAATTCTGTATCGTTCATGAATATTGTTAGAAAATAATCGAACACTGACGATAAATTGTCAAAATTTTATGCGAACATCATTACATTCTCCGAATACGAACTCGCTGCTTGTATGAACGAAGAAAATAATCGAACACTGACGATAAATTGTCAAAATTTTCCTCGAACATCATTACATTCTCCAAATACGAACTCGCTGCTTGCATGAACGAGCATCACTGCTACGGTGCGTCTGATATATCGTCTTTGCTCGATCACAGGGCTCGTATATGAGCGTGTATCACTGCTACGGTGCGTCTGATATATCGTCCTTGCTCGATCACGCGGCTTTTATGTATATGAGCGCGTATCACTGCTACGGTGCGTCAGATATATTGTCCTTGCTCGATCACGCGGCTTGTATATGAGCGCGTATCACTGCTACGGTGCGCCTGATATATCTTTCTTGCTCGATCACGCGGCTTGTATATGAGCGCGTATCACTGCTACGCTTGCTCGATCACGCGGCTTGTATATGAGCGCGTATCACTGCTACGGCGAGCAGCACTGATGATCAGTCCTCTTATCCTCACTCGCGCTGCCACTCTCTCGATATCTCAGTCAATTAGGCGGGGATCAAAAGCTTAGGCGCAGCCCTGCGCACAAATTACGATAATTATTGCGAGCTGATACGTTTTATTGCTTGCTTATAGTAAATGAGTGAATGATCACGAACGATTTCAGCAGTGATTGCACGTGGTTGTTAAATCACTTTTAGAACGTACCATGTAATTTTTGAGTGATGTCCTTATTCTGCACTGTTGTTATTTTATTTAGTACCGCTGTGTCTTCAGCATAACCTTCACCAAAGAACTACATGTACTCAAGTATACCAGTATTCTGGAGAGCATTTATATTGATAAAAAATTATTGAGGTGAATTCAATTGAAATTAATTTATTCGGGCAGGAATTTTTCCGTATTGGGAGCGCAAATACAGAGATGAATGTTAGATATCAGTTCATTTTATCCAGGTGCTCAAGCTATTTAGAAAACGATCTCGGGCTCTGAGTGTTCGCATTGAAACAATCTGATTAATTAGAAGCGACCATTTTCAAGGCTCTTAATGCATACCAAATACTTTCAGTCGTGAGATATTTGCAAATTTAATCAGAACTGGAGTTCTGTTGATCATGCAGGGGCTTTACTACCCCAAAACAGGACTTAATATTTTTTAATTTTTAATTTTCACTTTGCCATGCAGATTGCCTGTCCCATTCAAAGTCGACGATAAAGCCTAATCTATAATTAGTTGCGCTTGGTTCTGGGTCCTCGGTTTTTGAACTGTATCGAGAACACTGTAAAAAATATTGGTGCGTGTTAAATGTCGGGACAAAATTCATCGGCCTAAAAAATCCACCCTTATTTATATATGTAACAGCATTTGGTAACTAAAATGAATATTTTTTCTGGGAAAAAACTTCACGATATATGCTCTTTGAAGTTCAGTATAACCATGAAGCACTACTAAAAAATTATTGATTATATTCATAAGTTCCTCAGCTGAGTGGGATGTTCGATTTGCAGTAGATTCAATAGGAGATTGTCTGTTTATGATTGTCTCATGTCTATATTCTCTCCGAGCGAATATTTGTTCGCATTGAAAATTAAATTGGTCTGTCTTTATTAAGTCAATAAATCTGAGGTTGTTCACTGACCATTCGATTAACTCCAATATTAATATGATCTAGAACGTACCCTAGATAGATAGAACAGATAAAAAAGCGTACTTCAGAAATATGAAGTGGATTTTTTGAGTTGGGTTGAAATCGAGCTTGATTGTGCGAGTATTTGCGTGTTTTACAGGAATTATTTTCTACTGACTCACGGAAAATCGAAATTAAACATTGCAAAGAAAACAAATTTATCGGTTCTAATGCATCCTTTTTACGTTACGGCAGTTACGGCTTATCATTCGATACGACACCAAGAAAAAACGCAACTCGGGAGTCGACGGCGACGCTGAAGGCGTGGCTCAACGAGCACAAGAAGAACCCGTACCCCACCAAGGGCGAGAAGATCATGCTCGCCATCATCACTAAAATGACACTCACGCAGGTCAGTGGCACCATTAATGGTGAACACAGAAGTGTAGTCACTGTAAAGGCGGTATAGCGCGTGATTGTGCTCGCCATCATCACTAAAATGACACTCACGCAGGTCAGTGGCACCATTAATGGTGAACACAGAAGTATAGTTGTGGTGTTGCGTGTGCTTGTCTTTAGCACCATAATGACCCTCTCGCACGCCAGTAGCCTCTTTCCTGATGAATATAAATTGAAGTGATCGTATGTTGGTAATTGTGTTCACTATCACCATTAAAATGACACCTCGGTCGGTGGTGACGGGGGGAATTGAATAACAAAACTTAATTAGCAGTCTTATGTCCACCACCAATTCTCACCTGACACCAATCCGGTACTGTTGTGGCGCTTGAAGCTATTGTATTATTACAATTTTTGGTTACTTAATCATAATGTTAGCTGTCGTACGGAAAGTTAATATTAAAATAAATACTAGTACTGTATACTATTTCAAAATAATAGTACTATGCTGATTAAATCTGCCCTTGAAAATCTCATAATGAATTTGAAGATAAAGTTTTGCTACGCTTCATAAAATAATTCTCGTCAGTGGAAAAAGATTCGTCAACAAATTTCCACTCATTAAAATGTGGTATTAATTGTCAAATAAAGTTATTAAATGTACTATCTCAAAAGAAGCGTTGACCACAATCAAATGATCAACTGCTACCATTAGCTCGATGATAAAGTATAACTATTAGCTTTATGAAGCGTTTAGTGCAGCATACTTATATAGCCGCGCTCAGCGCGCCGGCGTCGAGGTGCCGCAGTCTCTTGAACTGACGCTGTGTCGCTGACGATGGTTTCTTCCCGCCCGTACCCCGCTCAGGTCTCAACGTGGTTTGCTAATGCACGACGACGCATCAAAAAAGAGAAGAAAATATCCTGGGACACCAAGAGCAACGCTGACGAAGATGATGACGATGAAGAGGAGCATGCCAAAGACGATGACAGAGACGCCAGTAAAAAAGGTGGGAGAATTTTTATAAGAGTAATTTTTGTGGGAAAAATTGGTAGATAGTTTCTGCCATTCAATGTTGAAAGATCCAATATTAGAATCGTGATCTGGGAGGTTATTAGGTGTCCTAGTTTTTATAGTACCGTTCATTTTACTTCGTTTAAGTTCTTATAATAGTGTTTTATGGGTTCATACATACTGTATTTAGATGCTACGTGTGCCTCAGTGTTCACTTGATATGATAGATTGAAGCTTTAAAGTGGGTATCAGTTGCTCGAAGTTACTGACGTCTTTAAAACAAATAGACGGAGGTCAGAGTTTGGCGTTGAGACTGTTCGAGACAAAGATGGAAGGGTGAAGCCAGCGAGCAGCTCTCGATCTAACAATTCTGATCACTTATTTATCTTTTGAAGGCACTCGAGAGCTTGGATTGAGAGCCATTAGGAATGATCCATGGTGCCTGAGAATTGCAATAACACTTATAGTGTTTGTGACCCCAGAACGGAAATTCTTGCGTCGCTCAGAGTGCAGTGATTCTTTCTAAACAAAGCCGCTCACACGCACTCGTTGCTGGGGAGTTTGTTCGCACAGCTCGGATTAACGAGAGAATTGGGCGCCTAACTTGGCCAGTCTGTCCTTCTTTGCATATTGTTTTCATTAAAGAAATAGTGACTCGGCTTACTTACTTATTTTTCACGTGCAACGAACTCCAATTCTACATTTAACAAAGTCGCATACAAAATTCTGCCGTCAATTAGGCTCATAATTTGATTTGGCGCTATTTTTATCGAGTATATTGTCTGTTGTAAACCATCCTTTTAATACGACGCTATGACTTTAAAATCGCGAGTAAAGTCGTAACATTAGTTGTATTTTACTTCAATGTTTGCATTAGTATATAAGCAAAATATCGGATAGGCCGTCGTCGGGACTTTATTTAGAAAGTATTTCAAAAGTCGCAGCCAGAAATTGATCATTTTTTGCGTATAGAAAATTTACTGATGTCTTCCAAATGCATGCAACCTTACAATTGACCGAATATAGACCTAACATTCTTGTATGTGATCCGAAACTTTATTAGTCCTTGATCTTCAACGACTACGGGTGCTTCCAAGTTCGGTTTGTTACGAATAAGTAAGTTTCTTTTAAATCTAATGGTGGTGGTGAATCTTTCAAGCTCAGAGGAGCATTGAGCCTGAACTCATATTCATTGAAATACGATGATGAAATTCTATAAGCCTAAATTTATAGCTTCAAATTTCTTTCAAAGCTCCGAAAAATAATAAGCTTCACGGTTTTTTTCATTAACCTTAATTTAACCACCTAAATGTAGATCGCTGAAGTTATTTTAAGAAGCGAATTGGACCAAATAAGCATAGCATAGTAAAGTCAGCCCTCATCTTTTTCTGCAGCACGACATGATCTACGAGTCTTTATGGTAACAGAGGCTCATTATTCGTTGACCAGCCATGCCGATATTATGCTTCGTTAGGAAAGACAGTTTGTTCTATTTTTCGGATTTTGCCTGACATGTCGACGGTGTTGATTGATGGTCACTTGTTGCAGAATCATCGAGTGTCTTGGATTGGTCGTGTTACCTCATTTTTAAAACAATAAATTCCTCTACGTCCATTCGTGCTTGAGATTCTAGGATTGGAATGGCACAAATATAAGTAGCATAACACTTGATGAACGCACCAAGCATAAATTGACGACATTCCTCACAAAGTAAAAGGAAGCTTGTTAACGCAGACCGAAGCCAAAGGATTTTTTTTCATACCTCCATGAGGCGTCATGAATTGATGCAGCAAGAAAAAAAAGTTTATCCTACATTCATCAAAACTTCTTTGAATGCGTAGATGTTCATGTTATTGAAATTGTAAATCTCTTTTAATCAAGATTCTATTTATCTTTCCAACCGAAAAATGTTTACTTTCCCATTAAGAGGAATAGCGCACTAATTTCACGCATAGCGTCTCGAAATATTCAGTCGTGCGGAGCTCCAGCGCAGCGCAAGTTTATTGATGCCCACAAAAAAGTTCCACAGAGTCGAGCGATGTTGTAGCGATCTTCCAGGCATAAATTTATCGTAAAAAGTCAACCTTTTATCTTACATTCAAATAAACTTCCGTTCTCTGCAATTAAACCAGGCGAGTATTTTTTTCAAGCCAACTGTAAACTCTTGCGCGAACAAAATATCATAGAAATATCAAGCAATTCTACTTTTTGAAACTAATAAAATTATATATTTTAAATTATAAGATTTTATAAAATTAAAAGATATATTTACTGCTACGAATTTTCAGAGTTTCATATATTGAAGCAATAAATCGCAGTAGAAGAATCTATTAAATACGGTCACAACATTAAAAAATATATAATATAAATTCAAACATTCAAATGTGGCGAGTCCCTTTCAAGCCTCCATTTAATATAATTTTTTCAAGTAGGTGTAATTGATTAAATAGCTATTGCTACTGCCATCTTTTTAAAATTGCAAAAAGAGCATAAATTTGATATTGTCCGAGTCTAAATTTTTTATTGAAGTGCTCATATTTCAGTTCTCGGGCATGGTAGAGGATGATGCTATGTATTGAACAATGGGTAGATAATTAGTGGCAGGGGCATGATAACGGAGCTTCGAACAGTAACCAGGGACCGTGTTGAGTCTTTTATAGGAAAAGACTACAAGTGATCATATATGGAAGCTTTCCCGCTAAATGAATAAAATATATTAGGATCTTCCATGAGCAAAGCAATTAGACGCCGTTTTTGGTTTTTGATTCACTGGTACAGATTTTGGACCGATTCCGGTGAACATGAAGACAACGCAATTTTTTCCCTCATGATATGGAGCCATACTGAGAAGAGTGATTCAAGACTTGCGTTCGTTAACAACAGATTACGATCCTTTTGTGCTACGTATTAAATTGGAAAACGATATCATCAAGATTGGTAGCGACCTATGGAAACATGCAAAATACAGAGGGAGTGCAAATGCCGACCGAGTTATACGACCAAAAATATGAACGTAAGAACGTATAAAATGTGAACTAATTATTAAGACGACACATCAGACACGTGTACGTACATCGGCCGGGCGTTCATTTGACGCGCGTAAATTTAAGGCGCATACATTTGCATATATGTGACGCACATACATGCGACGCACGTACATACGTACATGCGACATTCGTACATGCGACATTCGTACATGTGGCATTCGTACATGCGACATTCGTACATGCGACATTCGTACATGCGACATTCGTACATGCGACATTCGTACATGTGGCATTCGTACATGCGACATTCGTACATACGACATTCGTACATGCTACACTCGTACATACGACATTCGTACATCGTGAACACGTACATGCGACACCCGTACATGTGAGGTGCGTGAGTGTGCCACGACACACGGGCTCATTACACGCTTTATACATTTGTTGTATCAGTGAACAAGTCTCTTGACAGCGCAACAGCAACTTAGCAATCAGCCGTAATCTGCGCGATGCCTCGTCCTCTACCAAGACTTTGCCGCTCAATGCGCGTACTTTGAATTTACGCGCATCTTCGGCTAATATTTTATGGAGGTAGTAAATTAAAATTTTATTAAGTGCATGAAAAGTTTTGAAAAAAATAATATATTAAGGGAGTAGCAGTAAAATGAGTTGCGTGAAAGAAAAGACAGAATTTTTGATATCCCTGATTGTCTCTGCATATAAGTGCCTGAGTGTCTCTCATGATTCCAAAAATAATACAGGCAAAATATTAGATGTTTTTCCAACCGTTTGTTTAAAAATCTTAATCGAATTTCATCGTCAGCAACAATGAATAAAAAAATTGCTCCTGGGACGATAAATAATTAGACTCTCGTTATATCGGGCAAGAACTAATAAACAAATTGCATATGTGCTGAGTCTGAATTAATGAATCCACGACCGGCTATTCGCTGTGAAGTGAATGGAAAAATATACAAAACTTGAATCGTTAGAATTATTATTTTTTTTTATATTACGCTTTCTATAATATTTCTAGGTTGCCTTTCAACGGTAATTTAGTAAGAAGAAATCAGGGAACTCTTAAAGCATTTATTGGCGTTCATATAAGCACATCGTCAATCAAGAAACCTAATAATAAGCACTTTAAGAACTTATATCTTATTATATCTATTTCTGATTTTCACTCTTGAAACTCTTGTACAAAACAATAATTAATACTTTGGTGTTTCAAAAAAATAATTCTCATAATAATTTTACGACAAATTCTCAAAAATTAACCTACGAACATATTTGAATGCTTTATAAGTTTGATCATAGGTCGGCACGTTAGTTCAACCCCTGGAGCTCAAGGTGGGCACGCTGGTCTGGCCAGGCAGTCCCTCTTGTTTGTAGTCGCCCAGATAATTACAGGGAGTTCGGAGCGACTAACACGTCTCAGTATCTCTGGCTACGATGTCGCGAGATGCTTGCGTGCTGCTCTCCGCCCGCTCTGTAGGCCTTCAATATTCGCTTTTTATGGCCGAGTCTATATGCAGAACGTTTCCTTTGGAGATTCCATACAATTTTCAATGTCTATTCAACTTTGCATTATGTTTCATTCATGGATAAGCCTTTCCCAGAACTTTCCCACTGAAATCAATTATATTAATAATGAATTTTGCTCATTATGTTCTCAATATTTGGATCTAGTAATTCGTATTAGTAAGTGTTATTTTCTTGGCAAAATCCAGGAGTTATCGGAAGCCCTGTTTTTTGGCGCAAGATAGTATTTCCCAGTTTGTTAATCAAAATATTATTTTCTTGGCTAAGATGAGTTTTTGTGTTATCATTTCAATCATTCATTTAAATGGCATCAATCAACCCAATTTCACTTTGCTCAGCAACTATGTTGAGTTGTACTGAATTGAAGCGACTACATGTACGTAACTACAATTACGTATTTAGAAGGTGAAACTGTAAGTACTTAAGTAATGGAGAAAGTATTATCGATCGTTGATAGAACATT